CGCTAGCCAGCCAGTTAGCCAGCTCCAGGTTCAGTGACAAGTTCTGTCTCAAATTATTCTCCCTTGTGACACAAACACACACACACTCTCACTCACTCACTCACTCACGGGAATTTTCTTTTTCCTAATACATCTGCTCATTCTGAAGAAAGAAAGAAAGAAAGAAAGAAAGAAAGAAAGAAAGAAAGAAAGAAAGAAAGAAAGAAAGATGGATGGATGAGGGGGAAATGACAGCTCAGTGAGTAAAGGTGTTTGCTCTGGGGTCAATCCCTGGAACCCACATAGATGTGGAAAGAGGGAACCAACTTCATAAAGTTGTCATACCAGGATGCACATACCCACCCACAAACACCAACATGCTCAAGTACATAAATGATGTTAGAGCAACTGAGGAAGACATTTGACATCAACATCTGCCCCCATAGCCATCTACACATACCACCCCCCCTCTCTCTCTCTCTCACACACACACACACACAGAGATGGGGGGAGAGGGAAAGAGGGAGAGAGGGAGAGAGAGACTTTAAAATGTTTATAACATTTCTTTGTGTGTATGAGTGCAAAAGTTAAGTCAGAGGAGATCTTGTTCTCCCACCAGTGGACTGAGCTCAGGTTATCAAGCTTGGTGGTAAGCACCTTCACCCACTGAGCCATTTCCTCAGCTCCCCCTACCCCATTTGACAACATTGATGGAATGCTTGAAGCCTTGCTGTTTTAAGGTATTCTGATTCTTTGTTTTAAAAAGGTTTATTATTTTTAGGTGTATGAGTGTTTTGTCTTGATGCATGCCTGTGCTCTACAAGCAGGAAGTGCCTGCAGCAGCCAGAAAAGGGTGTACGAATCTCCTGCAACTGAAGTTACAAATAGTTGTGGGTGCTGAGAACTATATGGGGTTCCTCAGCAAGCACAGCCAGTTCTCTTAGTCACTGTGTCATCTCTCCAGCCCCTCTACATGAATCTTATGAACAGAAGTACATTTACCCTACCCCGAATTCTTCCCTATAGCCATAGGACTTTAAAAAATTATTCTTGTAGTGTTTCAAATTCCTCAGTGAATGAATGGCAAGTCTGTGACAGAGAAGGTTGCAGGTCTATCAGGAAGAGCCAGCAGCAGCAAAGGAGGAGTTTATTAAGAGCATCACCTCAAACCTTCAGACACAATATTATACTCAAGAAGGTGCCTAGAGACACCCAAGAAACCCACAGGATAACATCAGCAAGCTTGATGGGCATGGTAGCACATACCGACCACTAAGGCAGATAGATCTCTGAGTTCAAGGCCAGCCTGGTCTAATGAGTAAGTTCTAGGACATCGAGAACAAAAAAAAAAAAAAGAGAAACCCCATCTAGAAAAAATAAAGGATCAGCAAGCTTAGTCAAGCACTGTGACACGCGCCTTTAATCCCAGTACTCAGGAGGCAGAGGCAGGTGGACTTTTTGAGTTCAAGGCCAGGCACAGTTACATAGTTAGACACTATCTTAAGAAAGAAAATCTATTTAAGTGAGATATCAAAGCACTGTTAGTGTTGAAAGGACAAAATAGTTGGACATGGTGTCTCATGTCTGTAATCACAGCATGTGAGAGGTGGAGGCAGGACTATCAGGAGTTCAAGGATGGTTTCATCTACATAGTGCAAGTCTAGCTTAAGACTGTCATCTCAAAACAGACAGATGAGAAGAAAGAATTGGGTAACCGGAATTAGTAGAACAGGAGCTTAGAGAACTTCTTACAAATATTTTTTGGGGAAAGGTCATGAATTTTGTGAAAAGCAGACAAGACGTGGCACTACAGTCAGGAGGTAACACAGAAGTTCTCTGCATCTCTCCTAGTCTACTTTGTCCTACCAGTATGAATCAGAGTAGTCAGCGAGGATGATTTTATAGGCCTAGCAAAATGGCTCATCAAATAAATGCACTTGCCACCAAACATGACAACCTGAGTTTAATCCTTCAGACCCACACAGTGAAAGGAAATGATCAACTCCTGAAAGTTGGTGTCTGACCTTCACATGCAGGCCTGTATACACAAATGTAAAAAAAAAATTTGAAAATGAATTTTTGAAACCCCCCCCCCCAAAAAACAAGCAATTATCACAAACCAGATGTGGTATGGTGGTATATGCCTTTAACCCCAGCACTTGAGAGGCAGAAGAAAGCAGATCTCTCTCTCTCTCTCTCTCTCTCTCTCTCTCTCTCTCTCTCTTTGGTTTTTCGAGACAGGGTTTCTCTGTGGCTTTGGAGGCTGTCCTGGAACTAGCAACTCACAGAGATCCGCCTGCCTCTGCCTCCAGAGTGCTGGGATTAAAGGCGTGCCACCACCGCCCAGCTAAGAAAGCAGATCTCTGTGAGCTCAAGGTCAGCATGGTCTACATAGACTATTCCTGGACATCCAGGGCTATATAAAGACCCTGACTCAACCCTACTGCCCCCCAAAACCCCATTATCACAAATAAAATACAAGGTTCTTGTCAACATAGTAATGAATGCCTATAATCCCCTACTGGCAACGGAGGATCAGAATTCAAGGTCATATTTCTGGCCTTATAGTGAGTTTGAGGTCAGCCTGGAGAACTGGAGACCCTATCTCAAAAAAACCAAAAATCACACAACAACAACAAAACAAGTTATAGACCAGGCTGGGCAACATAGTGAGTTCAAGCCGGTCTAGCTAAATACCAAGATGCAAGTCTCAAAAAGAAAAAAAAGCACCTTTAAAACAAACAGAACTATACCAACAGTTACTTTAAACAGTTTCAAAACATCTACATGGGTATAAAATTCTAAAATAGGGTGGTGCCTATGTTCCTATAGTAAAACTTTTCAAGGCAGGAGATATTTCTGTTCGGCTACTGAGCCAATACTATCTGAAGTGTGTATTTACATCCTCTGCAAGTCCCTACCACCTAAGCACTTCAAACTCAGCCAATGTCTTCAGACAGAGGTTATCAATGGCCATGGGCTATAAGTAGGCACAGCTTGCTCTAGTAAATAAAGTTTTATTGGAATACATCTCAAACACATTCTCTATGCTGTCTTCTTATCAATTATCACCATACAAACCAGAGCTGAACAGTCTATTATAGAGATTATTAAAATTTACTATTTAATCCTATTCAGTAAGAAGTTCAACTACTCCTGTCCTGGGATAATTTAGAACTAACAACTGGGCACTGTGGCATATTGAGGCAGGAAGTTCATGGCATTCAAAGCCAACATGGGCAACACAGAAAGACCCCACCTCACAAGACCAAACAAAAACAGTGTGACAAATTCATGACCAGGATTGTTTACCTTGGAATGAGACATTACTGAATGTGGTAAAAGTCAGTGAGACCTTTCCCGAAATAGACCAGTACAAACCTAATTGAAAATAAACCTATACTAATGAATCTCAAAATCCCATTGTCAGTCTTGACTAAAAATTAAGCTTTAAAAGCTAACAGCCAATTCTGTTTACTATCTTAAAAACCATTACTCTGCCAAGTGTGGTGGTGCACACTTTTAAGCCCAGCACTCAGGAAGAAGAGAAGACAGATCCCTTGTGAGCTCAAGGCCAGCCTGGTCTACATACAGTGAATTCCAGGACAGACAGACTACAAAACAGAGACCCTGTCTCCAAAAAACAAAAACAGACAGACAAAAAACAGAAATAAAAACCACTACACTGATTCAATCAAGATACAATGTCTTTGCACACACACTATCCCTTGTATTTAATCCCCAAACCAGGGACTTTTATAAATTATTCTTTTGCTCTAGAACTCAGGCCAACCAAATAGGTTATCTTCTTCATCAAAGTTTCAGTTTCTTATACAACATTCAGAATGACAAGGTAAATGGAGAACCCAAAATGGGTCCTGAAAAATATCCTTTTTCTATTCTTACTATACTAAAAATTCCAGTGCTAGGCACAGTGGTACTTGTTTGAAGTCCCAGCATGGGAGAAATACTTGAAGCCCTGGAGTTCAAAACTAACTAGGCTACAAAGTGAAAAACCCTGTCTCAACAATTCTTTAAACCCCAAAGCTTACTAATTTACTTAAAAATTTTAAACTCCAAAGTATACTAAGCATGTAAAAGAATTTTAGTCAAAACAAGTTCTGGTGTATATTATTGCCATTCTTAAGAAGTTTATTACATAAGCAATGAAAACTGTCTTGAATAGTAGTATGGGTATCAGTAAACAATTCTTGGTTCCTTTTATAACTGATTATGGCATTATAGCAGATTGAGATAGCAATACAATACTAAGTGATAAAATATAGGGTTAATATTTTATTTACTATAAAATTATACTTTATAATTTTAGGCGGTAATTATAAAGGCGGTAGTACTTTAATCCCAGCACTTGGGAGACAGAGGCAGGCAAATCTCTGAGTTTGAGGTCAGCCTGGACTACAGAGTGAGTTCCAGGACAGCCAGAGCTACATAAAGAAATCCTGTCTCCAAAAAAACCCCAAATAAATAGAAATTATACTTAATTTTTAAAATACATCAAATAATCTGGGGTTATTATTTTTACCAAGTTTTAACAAAACTGAGGGTCAGTCACATAAAACTAATACCAAAGTTGATGATTAATTTATTTACCATTTGTTAAGATTATTCAGCTCAACTCTTGAAGAGCACCCCAGAATGACGTATCTACAGTGTGTTCCTACTCCTAAGTGCTTAAACAAAGATGCATCTATAGCCTGGTACCTTTGGCAATATGAATGTGGTCACAGGCTATAAGCTCATGTTAAGGGAAGCTTAAATAAGCATTTAACAAGGCTAGCATGGTGCCAAGGCAATCACAACACAAATAAGTGGTTTTCTAATTACATATCCATACCATTTCCCCCTTTGGTATATCTCTGTTATTTTAGACTAGATAGCGCTGGAAAATGATAATTTAAAGTACAATCAAGTGACAATCATTTTTACCATATATCACATGATTTACAAAGAACTACTACTTTCTGTTTTTTAAAAAGTCAGACCTTGATCCTCTTTCTCACCTGCTGGTACTGGAAAGACAAAATCCTAAAAACCTTTCAGACCTAAACACTTTCCTCACAGATCAGTTTTCTCATGAAGTTGATGTGTGTCAGTTTCCAATGTATGTGAGCAAGAGAGGCAAATTAAGATTTAGAAGCACAGGGGCCTGATCTTTGGAAGGTGTCCACATGGAAAAAAAAAAAAAAGGAAACTCCGCCCAGCCCTCAACTTTCTCTTTGCCAGTCCGGGTTTTCTCTTTGCAAAACCCAGAAATGCACAAGTTCCTCTGACTGACTGCCTCTACTCGAGGCCTGGTACAAAAACACACCGATAGTTACCCAAATACCTCCTTAAGGTAGTCATAAGACTCAAGCCCGCTCAGAAACAGCAGAACGGTTTGCTTTCTCGGGTTTAAAAGAGGGCGATTACAAGGTTTGGCGGCAGGATTTGTCAAGCAGCAGAGGGCCGAGCAAGAGAAGCCAGAGACTAAGCTCCATCTAGTCCCAGGAACCGCCCCCTGGGAGGCTAGACTACACTCGGTACTTCCCGGCCACCTCCACTCGGGAGCAGCTGAGCCGGGGGGGGAGCCCCCAGGCTGGCCTCCGGGGCCCCTGGCCCTCCCCCC